CAATCCGTAATATTCTGTGATTCTGTGATTTATAGCCATATACAAAGTGGGTGATGAGTCTAAGTTCACAGAATCATATAATAGAGTCATAGAATGGTTTGGGTTGGAAGGGATCTTTAAAGGTCACCTAGTCCACCCCCCCACCCCTGCAGTGAGCAGGGACATCTTCTGGGCTGAAGAGAGAAACTAATGTAGGGGGAAACTCACACCTTGCCAAGAGGTGGTTTACAGTTGGACTCGATGATCTTAAAGGTCTTTTCCAACCAAAACAATCTTACGATTCTGAGAGGTGTCTCTGACAGGTGAGATGAGTGGAGCAGTCTGTGGTCTAGAGTACAGCAGCAGTTGTTGACTTTGTAGAGTACAAAAGTTAAGAGCTCTTTGCCTTGGATCATTCAGCTGCTCAGGGAAAACCAGTCACTTTTGAGTCTGTGCAGGAGCACGACGTTGTGCTGGGAGAGTCTTGGTGTTCTGGAGCAAGGTCTGGGTGGTTACTGTTGGGTGTGAGACATGCTCCAGAACAGCTGTATCAGGGTCAAGGCCACTCTCTTTTGCTGTGATTTTGCAGGAGCTCATCTGAATGCTGCCATCACCCTCACACACTGCATTATAGGAAACCTCCCCTGGAGAAAGCTCCCAGCTTATCTCATCGGCCAGTTCCTGGGATCCTTTACTGCCGCAGCCACCGTCTTTGGCCTCTACTACGGTATGATTGTGTCTTTATCACAGGGGTGGCTGTGGGCATCATGTCAATCTTAACGCACAGTTCATCAGAAGTATTTCCTTTTACAGTATCCAGCACGATGTCTGGGTGAGGGAGGCCAACTCCTGGCTTGTGGGACAGACTTTCAGAGCTTAAAGCCAGAGCAGGGCCCAGATATCTCTGGGAAGGATGTGCAGTTCCTGGAGAACACAGCTCCTTTTGCTCAGGACATCTCCACTGACAAAACCTGTCCTCAACTCAAGCTGCATTTTGTCAGCATTTTGTTTCCAGGGTCTGCAAGGGCTTGAGTTAGATGGACGACCATGTATTGACCATGTATTAGGTACAGCTGGTGCTCTGGGGACTCTGTTGGTCTGTAGAAAACAGGACAGCAGTCATCTGTGGTTTTGAGTTGTGACCAGAGGACCCACCACCCATTAGCTCCAGCATGTCTCAGTCTCTGAGGGGCAGAGGGATGGAGGCCTCCAGTGCATCCAGAACATCCACCCTGCCCCAGGCTCCTGGAGCAAGGACAGGGAACTGGAAGGCATAAGGGAGCAACTGCAGACCAAAGTCTGTGGATAACAGATATTGGTGAGATCATGCCCTGCAAGGGGTGTGTCACCTCCATCATACCTCTCATGGCCTCTCTTCCCCTTCGTGTCCATGCTGGCTGCAATGGGTGGACTTGAGTACGTGCTGTGTGGGATGAACTCTGTGCTAACTCCCATAATTCGCATTTCTCCTAGATGCTCTGTACGACTACACCAAGGGGAACTTTACAGTGACAGGACCAACTGCCACGGCTTCGATCTTCTCCACTTACCCCTCTCCCTGTGTATCCTTGCTGGGGGCCTTCTTCAGCGAGGTCAGTGGGGACTGTTGTGGTATGCTAGGAGAAGGTGGGTGGTAACAGCTGCTAGTGCAGGTCTGCTACAGGGGATTCATGGTCCTAAGTGTGCAGATGCAATCACAACCCCTGTCCAAGAAGCCCACCATCCAGGCAGGTACCTGATAGGTATGATCCGAGGCACCTTGGTGGCTGACCAAGCCTAAAAGGTAATGCCTGCAGGCTGCTCTGCAGCTTGGTCCAAGTGCCCTCCAAACACCTTCCCTGCACTAGGAGAGCAGCCCAAGCAATGGGAAGTCAGAAGCTGAGCTGTATCAGGAACTATCTCCTTTGGGCTTTGGGCAGTTCCTTGAATTGTCCTTCCCCTTTTTGGATCCTACACTTGCTCCATGGTCCCAGGCAGTTCCGCTGGCTGCCCTTCACTGGCACAAAGAGCCTGGGACTGTCTTCACATCAACACAGTCTGTCTGGATTGAACCTCTGGGGTTTGAATGGTCCAGTTCAGACTGTGTACAGTTCATTCCCAGCATACAACACAATACCCATATACCCAGAAACAGGAAGAGTAAGTTTCAAGGGGCATGGAGCACTGGGACACTGGAGAAGGAAGTTTCACTTCCAATTCAAATCTGAGGAAGCCTGTCCTTTCATCTCTGAGCTGACAAAACTCTTGCCTGGGCATGATAAGGAGGATGGTGAGAGCTGGAGAACCTACAGGTGGGGACCCGATCACTCAGCCTCCTGTGGAGCCTGCAGTGTCCATGCTGCACGAGAAAGCAAATGACAGGGACAGTGTGTTGCCCAGAGCTGTAGAGTTTCTGCTTATTCTGGCATCAATGTAAGCAGTCCAAGGCTCTCCAGCTGCATTTTCTGAAGCAGAAAGAGACAGGAGTCATCACCTCTCTTCAAACCACAGCTGCTGACATCTTGGGCACTGCAGATCCACAAATGCCAACTACCTACTATCACAGACCGGAGATTCAGTTTCTCAGATGAAAATCTGATATCTGCTTTTAGTCCTGAAAGGACTGATGCAATCGGCTACATAAAACATCTCTCCCTGGAGAGATTCGTCTCTTTCACAGTTTGTTATGGCTCTGCCTCTGTTAGATGAAATGTACTTGAAATAACCCATGTACCTAACTTGAAAGGTAGAGGGAGAAGACAGTGCTGAGAGTTCATATCAGTCCTAGACCACTTTTGATAATGAGGTGGAGAAGTTTTTGCTGGGAAATGAGTCAAGACTTTTCTTCAGTCCTTCTGTGAGGAGGGAATAACATTGGGATCCTCCCTGACTTGATTAGACCATGAATACCACCCGCGCTTCCATTCTGGGAAGTCTCTTCCTCTCTGCTGAGCAGGATCGGTTTGCCTTCCCCGTTCTTTCTCCTGACCTGTTCCCCTTTTCCTGGTCCTGCAGTTTTTGGCAACAGTGATGCTGGTCCTGGGCATTCTGATCATCCACGATGAGAAAAACAATGGAGCCCTCAAAGGCACGCAGGCCCTGCTCACGGGTATCCTGGTGCTGGGCATTGGCCTGGGGATGGGGATGAACACAGGCTACGCCATAAACCCCTCTCGGGACCTTCCCCCCAGGATCTTCACGGCAATTGCTGGCTGGGGAACTGACGTCTTCCGGTGAGTGACCTGTTTTTCTTTTACACTGCTCAGCTTGCAAGGAGAGGAGATAAGCCCAAGATAAAATGGCCATGACCAAGTGATGGTACTGCTTCAGAGTGTGTTCCCCATTCTCAGAGAGCAAGGGTTGTGCACAGAGAAGTCTCGTGCATTATGTACCCCAAATTTGGGGTATGCTAATTCTCCAGCATGGGATTCGTCTTGACATTCAGATACCTCAATTTGGGCATGAAATTGCCTACCTGTTAGCTGGAGTTCTAGCTGGTTATTGCAGTGACAGCAGAGCCAGAGAGCAATTTGTCTCACGTGAAGGCAGGTTCTTACAGCTGGATTGCTGAATAGCTCTCCTAAGTTTAGATGGCTGAATCTAGAGATGAAACCCTGCCTTCCTCTTATCTAGTAAGTTGGTGCCATGCTACGGCTTTTCCCATGGTGAAGGCATTAGCAGACTCTCCTATCCTGGCTGCTCATTTGCATTAAATTTCTAGATGTTGTGAAAATATCTTTGAAAGCTTAGTTGAGGAGACACAGATGCTTTTGGAAATGGGGAGGGAAAAGGTGTGATTGTCTGTCCAACTGTCTAACAGTCTAACAGTCACAGAGTCTATTCCTGCAGGAGAACACACCTGCAGACAGTGCAGAGCCACCTTCCCATGGAGAAAATAACCCTCCCTGCAGCAATTTTGCTGGTGGATAGAGAATTTATCCAAGCCAGCTGTAGGGCCCCGTATGTGAAGTGAGACTAGACACCTCTGTTTACACAGGTCACTCCTGCCCCATCGCTCTCAGCTCACCGCACCTCACCCTGTGCCATGCAGTGGCAGAGCAGTGGTTTGGCTCACCAGCTGCCTCTTCTGTGTTTCATTTTAGGGCTGGACATTACTGGTGGTGGGTCCCAATCATAGCTCCAACACTGGGAAGTCTTGCTGGTGTTTTAATCCACAAACTCTTCATTGATTTTCACAACCAACCTGTCCCAGAAAGTGGAAACGTGAAAGGACAGCCAGTTGTGGAGACTTCTACGCTGTGACGGCCAGATGTTCTAAGGAAAGGACTTGACAGCAAAGCCTATGTGGACATATGGACAACCAAAGGAGTAGCCAAGGGGATAAAGGCACATGCAAACGTGCTGCTGGAGCACAGTTTCTCCACCCTGCAGGTGGAGAAATGAGGGACTAGCTTTCAGTAAACCTACTCTGCTTTAACCAGACAAATTTGGTCTCTGAGACGCTGGGCAGACCCAGGTAGGGCTAGACCTGTCTGTGACCTGAAGAAATGACTCAATTTCCCTGTGTAAAAATCTATTAAAAAAACCCCAAACCCCAAACCATCATATTCTGGAGAAAAGCAAAACAGAGATGCAAGACTCCAGATATTTGTATGTTCATAGCAACGAAAACACAAGATCCAATAGGGCTGAAATAAGACTTAGTCAGGGGAGCATGGGTGAAAACCAGGGGACACCTACAGTGGCAGGAACAACCCAATTCATTTTCATCTGGAATATTCTTTGGTAAGAGGTAGATACTACACTGATGGATCGGGGACCTAGGCTAATCTGCCACCCTAACAAACACCTAGTTTGGCAGAGCACAGAGAAGAGAAGAGCAAGGATAGTCTGAAATAGAAACCTGAACCTGATTTTTTTTTTCTTTGGTGCTTGGTTTTGTTTTTTAAATTTTTGATCTGAACATTCAAGAAGCACCAAAAAATTATTAAACTAAACTCCAGGGACTCCCAAATCCTGGCCCAACTCAGCTGGAACATGTTGGCATCATGGAACCATCTGTGTTACTGACAGGCTAGACTTTAACCACCACCATATGAAGGGATTCAGACAACTCCAAACACCTTAACAAAAAAACCCCACCTTTTTCTCCACTCTGAATGCATGAGAAACAGGGGAAGTGGCTGCCATGTTCCTGCAGGAATTCTGCCACCTCCATCTGAATGAGGATGCAGGCCTGTAACAGCCTTACAAGTTTGAGGCATCACCTGAATACAGTGTCAGAAGCTGCCTGTCTGTCCCCAGGCTGGGTGACAAGAGTCTTAACTTTCCTAGGCCGTGGTTAAGCAAGTATGGTACCTGCATTAGGCATGTTACTGCAGTCCCAAGTCCCATGAACACACAGGGCCCCTTGGGTCTCCCAAGAGTAGGAAATGATACAACATCACTACTCCACGGAATTCCAGAAACTGGCATTTACTGGCTTTCATGACAATTCGCATCTCCTGTTACAAGGATTACTAATGTATTACTGGGGACTGGGGTGGGGTGATAGGTACTGACATCTCTGCTTCCTCATCAGAGCTGACCTTATACTCGTAAAGCAGCTACAGCTCTTCACCCAGCACAAGGTGCACATCGGCTTCAGAGAGCTGAGGAAAGTTAGAGGATTTTCTCTCGTTTAGGGGTGGCAGAGAGCACCTGCCAGTCAATGCTGTAACTATACTTGAGGGTGGGCCCTGGGCAGTGCTGGAAGCCAGCAAGGCATGACAGAGCTGGGGCTGATGGCTGCAGAGATTTGTACTGGTGAGTGCAGGACAGAAGTGGTCTGTGTGAACTAAATTGGGAACTTCAGAGCAGCTCAAGGTGGGATCAGCTAAAAGACACTGTAACCCATCCCTTCTCAGTGACAGATTCTCCATCGCATTAAAAAATCCCCTAACAATCCAGCCTACACCCTGACATCCTTGTGCACGTGCTCCCAAAAGCATCTTCAAATACCCAGTCACTCCGGAGGAAAAATATTAAAACCTTTATTAAAATACTATTAAGGACTTACAGGGTGGCGTCGTCTTTCTGAAGGCTGCAGAAATACTCGCGAAAGCCTCACAATATCCCTGTGAGGTAGGTTTGTCTTATGTAATTATGTGACTGTTTCATAAATAAAAAGATGATGCTGTTTAAATAATCAATGCTTATTTGAAGACACTGATTTCCCTGTTTCAGCACAAAATGTATTGGTTGCTACCATGTGTTTCCAGCACATCTAAGACAGAATGGCACAGAAAAATAGCGGACACAATCAGATGTAACTGAAAACCAGCAGTGAATGGGTTAAAGCGCAGTTCTAACTGGAAAAAAATACAGTATAGAAAACAGCATCAGGGGCTTCTAAGGCTGTAGGATCTCAGTGGCCCCTGGTCAGATCCTGCCCAACTGAAATGTGACAAAGGCTGTCTGAATGGTCAACTTTGCAAACGAATGTGTCACAAACCAAGGGGCCCTCCTGGCTTACGGGACTCAACAGCACTGACCCACTGTGGCTCAGCAGCTCCCACATGAGAGGAGAAAGCAGAGGCAATGAGGGATCTTGCAGCTTCTGGCTGCCTTCAGGCTTATTGGGAAGGAGACCACACAGACATCAGCACCTGAAAAGATACACCACAAAGGCCAAAAACTGCTCTAGTCCATAGAGCAAGCGGCTAGGCCAATGAAGAGACATGGAAGCCCCAGGTCCGTTTGTAGGGTGAAACTCAGAACAGAAGCTGGAAGGAGCACAGGGAACTGTGGAGTTTGACTGTGTCTGAAGCAGAAGATATTTCTTTCTCGGTGCGTTCCAGCCTGCTCCCATAGCATGCAAGGTCAGGATAGGTGTCTTTCAAAGGAGATGACAGAAATATCTTCATACACTGTATTTCAGCATGGGTCTATTAAAGTAATGGTGACTTACATTTGCTTTCATTTCACTGCTGTAGTTGCACAGGAACAAAAGCTTCCCTATAGAGCAGTGACATCAAGGGCTTCTTCATGCCCTCTGAAAAGTACATGCTGCAAGTAGCAGAATGGAATAAAATCAATGTCTCAAGTTTTTTTCTCCGAGTCTCTGGGAAACTAGAAACACCCCTCCCACGTCAAAGCACATCGTGGCTGTATTTCATGCAAATGCTGCAATGTGTTTTTCAGGGGTACATGTATTCATGCACAAAGAACGTGGTCTGAACACTGAGACTCTGCATCAGAGAACATCAAAGCTTATTGCAAATGCTGTCCAGGGTCAGATCTAAGGGTCTCACTTCCTTGAAGAATTCCCAGCTAGTGAGGATGTCTTGGAGGAGGTCAAGCTTGTGTGGCTCTTTTGGGAGCCTGCTGGCTGGGACAGTGGTTTCTTTTTGATCACTGGAGTTTTGTTCTTGCTTTTAAATACCTTATTGGGGTCCAGCTTGTTCACAAAGGAATCAGCTTCTTCAGAGAAGAGAGCTGTGTTGATGGTTATGGGTTTATACATGTTAAACCATTGCTGAAAGGCAGGATGGTGGGGAAGGAAGAGGTTAAAATCAAACTGCAATTAGACATTTCCACCCTGTTCCCCTCACCCCCGAGACCTGATTTTAATCATACACTACTTATCAGTTTGCAGTTTACAGGACTTCACAGAGTGCCTTGTGATAAGGATACACAAGGCACAGCTACAGTCCTGGAACTGCCCCACATTCCAGATAGGGAAGAGGAGAACCAGACACAAACCCAACACCACCTTTCCTGCAGTGTAACTCCTATCAGGAGCCACTCCTGATGTAAACCACAGGAGGAAAAGCAAAGGGAGGGGATGAAACTAAACCACATTTATTTAAATTCAGAAGCAGAAAAGATTAAAAAAACCTTGGAATTTAAAAGTGCTTATAAATTGGAACCAAACTAGTTGAACTCAAAATACAGCCTCCCTCCCTCTCTTCACACATACAATAATGCAGGTTTTTTAACTCTTTACACAAAAGATTTTGTGTTTGTTTCTCTTCACCCTGATTTTACATCTAGAAGTGACCAAAACTTTTTTTTTTTTAAATTTGTTTTTTGTTCCCAACGGCCCACAAAGTTATGGCCAGTTTTGCATTGACGTAGTCAGGAAATAAAACTGCAGGGGTTATGGTATTACAAATCCCACTGATGCTATGAGCAAGATAAACAAAGGATCAATACCAAAATGTAGATGGCAATCTACTTATGTACTGCTTAATGGAAAACAGCTTTAATATACCACCCTTGAAGACCTTTAAAAATGATAATGGTTAACATAGCAGGAGGATTTTAACTAACAGAGGCTGCAAACGATTAGGGAATGATTTCACTAAGGTTTGTGAATATACTGAATGTAATAAAATATTCTAGTAGAAAAGTCATAGAAAGGCAGAGCACAGGCATATGCTAGAGCACCATGTACACAGCCTTGACCGATAAAAGTAGAGCCCAGTATAACAGGGAAGACACCAGAAACACAAAGAACTGAATCCCACAGCCACTGACGGGAAGTTGGCAGTGATTTCAGTGAGTAGTTCTGATGTATGCACAGGGCCGAGGCAGGACCAAGGAACATCGTGCTGGTAAGACAGCTGTCATGTCTGGGTGAAGTGCAGGACACTCACTGAGACCCACCAGGCCTTGCCAACATGCAGAGACGTTACGCAGGCTTATGTGCTGTTTTTTGATAGTATTGTCAGCTTCATTCCCCGACCTCCCACAAAGTGGAAGGAGAGCTGGGCTGAAGGCCCTGTCAAGCACAGAGGAACAGCAGGAGCCTCTAATAGCAGGGTTCTGGCAGAACAGAATAGCAACTTTAATAAAGGGGCTGGAATGGTAATGAGGCTACACCTGGAGCTCTTCTATTACTACTTCTAGGACTGCTGGCATTTAAATTGCCCTTTTTTGGGCACCATTTTTATCGAAGTATCCCTTCCTGACTGAGGAGGATGCAAAGGAATTAATATTCTTGGAAAGGCTCAAGCTCATAGTCTTCCTCTGGGCTTCTGTCTAACGTGAACTTGGACTTTCCTCTCCACCCAGAGACCAGTAGGTTCTTGTTTTGTGCTATGCCTAGAAAACTGCTCTAGACAAATCTTACATAGCTGTGGGGATGAATGGCTTTACATCTCCTCACTTGCCAGCAGTCACAGAAGTGGAGGTTTGCTTTGGAGTCAAGAAAGCAAAGAAATAATTTGGGTTCCACCACCTGCTATTAGATGTCAAAGGTAGGACCCAGCTTGGGTGAAAAAAGCAGAGTTAACACAATGTTAATGGTTCAAGAGCAG